TAAACGGTAGATGAATAAGATGCAAGACATCGTCGACAGGTGGTCTGTCAAGGACACTACGGACTTTTTGGCAGCCCTCGCTGTGTCAGGCGACGAAGATACCGCAAAGCAGGAGCAACATGAACTGGGCGCATGCCCCTCTAATCTTTCCAAAGATGCATTTCTGGGGAGCGAAGGCCACTGTGTTAGTGGTGAAGCCTCGTTAACTGTCGAACAAGGCAAGGTCCATTGCGAAGAAGGCGGTGACGACGAGGTAACAGATATCACTTCTGAGATGTGTGATACCCTGGCTGACATTTCTTGCTCTCACGCCGGGTATAATGACATCGCCGAAGTGTATGTTCGCCTTGTACTGCATCTGAAAATCTCTCTTTTCAATGTGTGATAAACACCTGCCTAAAACCTTTCGTTTTAGTGACTATGTCCATGGCGGTCGTGATACTGGTAAGTTTGTTCTCCTGACACGAAACCGCAGTCTTTATGCATGGGTCTATTAAAATCTTTAATGCCAATTATGTTGTATGCTACATTATCAGTGTGCCGAGGTCGATGGATAGGGCTAATGCAGCCAGCGTAATCATATCCGTAAATTGAATTCCATAATACCTGGTAGACTCACTTGCGAAGAATGAAGAAGGCGTAGTGTCTATCGATGCCGCGGACATCGTCAACGGTCTTCTCATTCGCTTCGTGAAAGTCATGGCACGGGTTCAGATGTTGGCGATGAGCTTGACACACAGCGCTGCTGATACCAACAACTCAGGAGGGCTGACCACTGCTGACCACGAGGTTATCAGTGGTGACTTTCTGGCGTGGTCCGAAAAGGCCCAAGATTGGTTCACGCAATTCATTGGAGCCCTGCGAAAGGCCTCTAATCTGCCCATGGTGTAAGTCATGTGGTTAAAAGTTAATGGGGAGTTTACTGAAGCAATCTGTCAACATTTAATCCACGATTGACAGTTGGGGCTGTTGAAGTTAGATCAGAACATCAATAGCTGGTAACTAGCGAAAACAGACTACGAGGTGACTCGCCCTTGGTAGTCTGGGACATTCGTCATTCTTCTGATGCTTACTGTGTTCTTGTACATGGTGATGTTGTTGTCTCTTAGGGAGTCCAACCTGGAAGTACTCGAACGCGAATTCACGGACAACCTGAGTCTGTTGAAGAAACTGCAAAAGGAGCCTGTGAGTCGGGTGCGTTTTGATCCGGATCTTTAAAGATAATGTAGAATGCTGATTATTGGTAATCTGCACTTGACATATTTCTAGTTGCCTCTGTACACTACTTTTGACGTGGCTCGAGCAATTAAATTAGAAACATTGCATGTTAATTATGCGTAAACGGTGTTGATTAAGTAATCGCAACTATCTTGTCAAGTTTTCATGCATTAGGAGTACAACAATTGCCT